AAGGACTCGCTCTCCTTTAAGGGACTCCATTCAGGTCCCATTTAAAATATGTATAAAATTTAACGATTTTCCCTGAGAGTCTATTAGGGAAGGAAATGTGGGAAGAAAGTCTTCCAAATGGAAATTTAATATTTGACCTGGACCCTGAAATAGACTCAGGTGTAGATTACAGAAAGGCTTCTCAGCTCTCCTTTAAGGGACTCCCTTTAGCTTACCTTTAAAGACTCCATTCAGAACGCATTTTGGAATTCTCTTTAGCACGCCTTTAAGGACTCTCTCTCTCTCTCTCGCCTTTAGGGACTCCCTTCAGCTCGTTTATAAAGACTCCCATAGGCTCGCATAACGACAGGGAAAGACTCTATGAGTTGACACGAAAAATCCATTGTAAATTCGTTTGGGAAAGAATTTTCGCCTGACAGCCAAATGTAAAGGGGCTTACAGAGTATTTTCTGCCAAAGGAGAAAATGTGAAGACAAATTCAATGACTTTCCCCCAAGCGTCCATTAGGCAAGGAAATGTGAAAAGAAGGTTCCCTAAATGGAACATTTTTTATGACCTCAACTACGAAGTTGACTTAGGACCCATAGGCCTCCTAAAGACCCCCTCTAGTTCGTCCAGAAAATCTCTCTTCAGTTCCTATTCAGATATTTCTTTCAGGACACTCCTTAGCTTGCCTATAAGGACTTCTTTCAATTCATCTATAAGGACACCCTTTAGCCCGCCCTTAAGGACTCCATTTAGCTCATACATAAAGACTCCTTTAGGCTTGCCTAAAGATTTCCATTAGGACTCTGCTTAGCTCACCTTTAAGAACTCCCTTCAGTCCACTTAAGAGGCCCTTTAGCACGCCTTTAAGGACTCCCTTCAGCTCGTCTTGAAATACTTCCTTAACCTCGCCTAAAGGCTTCAGTTAATTCGTCTATGAAACTTCTCTTCAGTTCGTTTTCAGAGATTTCCTTCATTGAGCGAGGAACGAAGGAGGGCAGAAAACTCTGGAAGTACCGATGATTTGGGGGGCTGTACCGGAATGTGGACCATTTGCAATATCAACTTCAAAGAAATTTCTATTTTGCATGCCAATTTTATGGTTAAAGCAAGCAATTTCTCTCTTTCCGCTCTCGATTCCCTTTCAATTTCTTTTTCATTCCATTTTTCTCCATCTGACTTTTTTAGACATTCCATCAAATTTTCAAAGCAAAAATAAAATTTTCAATAAAAAATATATTCAAATTTTATTACAAAAACCTCAAAATTGACATCTTCACATCAAAATATAAGAAAAAACCATTCTTATTCCCAAATACTCTCAAATTTGTAGCCAAATTTCGCCACCAAATTGCTCCTCCGCTTCTCCTTCTACAGCATCTGATTCAAATATTTATCCACATAGGACCACAGAATTTTCGAAACACAAAACAGAGACCAGGCACCAATCCAAACATATCCCGATGATTCACCATCCATGAGAGTTGAATAGGCAGCGCTATCGTTGGTCATCTTGAGATTTGATTTGCTTTCTTGCTTCTTCGTTAGTTTTGAAGTTTCAAAAAAATAGTTTATTTTTTGGAAAAATTAAGTTTGACAGAGCTTTTACTTCCGCACGCTATGAAGAATATTTTTGAAATGCAAAAATAATATTTTTCCCAAAGCAAATGGGGAATTGAAAATCAAGGCCTACTCAAAGCCAAAAATAAATATATTTTTTTTCAATTTCATTTTTTTTTATTTTGAAATAAAGTTGTTTTGTTCAAAGTACTTTTCTTGAGAGGTGTAGAACTTTTGCTACTTAAGAAAAATAGAAAAATTTCTGTTTTTCTCGAGAAGTCTTGACAATTGTCTTTTACCTCAACAGAAAGTGCTGTTCAAGCCTCTAAGAATAGAAGACCACATAGGTCAAAGAGTGAATGTGAGAGGTCATCTATTCAGGGTAGACTTGTGGAAGATACTGCAGAAGGTCCATGAAAGATTTTGTATCCACAGAAGAGTTATGAACAAACTATAAAGATAAGCCCCTTAGAAGTTTCTCCAGTGGAAGATCTTCTCTCTACAGATGTACAATACACAATTTTTTTATCCACAGGAGATGGAAGACCTCATTTCGCGAGAAAACTTTTTGGAATCTTTCTCTTAGGGGAAAATTGGAAAAAAAAATATTTTTAACTTCATTTTGTATCTATTGAAGACGGCTTCCAATCTATAGAAAATCTGTGAAGATCTTCAATTCACACAAAACTTGTAGAGACTTATATCTTTTGGCCACAGGAGTGCTGTGGGTGGTATTCTTTTCATAGAAGTCTTATGGAAGTCCATTTGTCTAGAGAAAACCGGTTCAAAGTCTTCTCTCTAGAGAAAACATAAAAAATTCTATCTGCTTCCTACAGAAGACCAGTGGCAAAGTTTACTATCCACAGAAGATCTGTAGAGGGCCTTCTGCATATAAAAGACTAGAAAAAGTCTTGATATCTGGAGAACAGACCTCAAATTTATTTTGAAATTAAATTTAACTCTCTCGTTCATTTTGTTTGTTTTTTCTTATTATAGAAGCATCTTCTGAAAATTGCTTGTAATTAAGGGACTGTTTGAGAGTATCACTTTTATGTTTTATCCCAATTCTGTGTTGGTTGTGTGTGTGCCGAGAATTAATGTCAAGCTACTGGTAATGTGAAAACTAGTTTATTTACATTACCTTGTAATGAGTTGTTCGGTTTATGTGAATCTCATACTTTTCTGGGATACTGGAGTTCCTTCAACGGTTTGATTAATCTTATTTTATAACAGATCCTTCTATAGAAGATCCTTAAAAAATATTCTCTTCTTATGAGTTCTTCACGTCTTATCCCTGAAGGAGATATTTTTAATGTTTTTTTCAATATAGGAGAGTTTTAAAACGTATTCTCTTGAGAGGAGATCTCCAGGTGTTTTAACTAAAATATATCTAAAACGAATCTAAAGGTATACAGAAGACCGCAATGAAGAAATTAAGAAAGAAGATCAAGGAAAAGGTCGACTTCTCTCAACAAGAGGCTTTTGAAGGTTCATTTGTCTATATAAGTTCTTAAAAGACTCCCTGGCCCTCCACATCGTCTGTTGAGACATCTCCCTCCAACTAGTCTACAAAGGCTCAGCGGTCTCAGTCTATAAAGACTCTCTATATATACAAAAATAGGAACTACATTGTTAAAAAAAAAAACCTTCTTGTGGGCCTTAGACGTCGGAGTGCCTTATAAGGATTTTAGAAATTACTTTAGGAATTTTTCAAAAAAGAAAAAAAAACTTAGCTTTAAAAGCTTATAATCCAAAATATATATTGTGTAATATCAAACTTTAGGCTGGAGATCAGCAGAAAAAATGAACATTCGATTTCGGGAAAAATTTATAGAAATGAAAACAAATCGAGTTCCATTAATCTTAAATGGGCCTAGGCAAACTTATTTCGATTGAAATTTATTTGTTATCGAAGGCGGGGATTTTGGCCCCAGGACTTTTTTTGAGAGTCCAATACAAGGGGTGTGAGTTTTTCAAAAATATTTTGCTGGTATCCCATCATTGACATTAAGTTCGTCATTTATTTATGTATTACTATTATTATTATTATTATGTTCATTATTATTATTATTATTATTATTATTATTATTATTATTATTATTATTATTATTATTATTATTATTATTATTATTATTATTATTATTATTATTATTATTATTATTATTATTATTATTATTATTATTATTATTATTATTATTATTATTATTATTATTATTATTATTATTATTATTATTATTATTATTATTATTATTATTATTATTATTATTATTATTATTATTATTATTATTATTATTATTATTATTATTATTATTATTATTATTATTATTATTATTATTATTATTATTATTATTATTATTATTATTATTATTATTATTATTATTATTATTATTATTATTATTATTATTATTATTATTATTATTATTATTATTATTATTATTATTATTATTATTATTATTATTATTATTATTATTATTATTATTATTATTATTATTATTATTATTATTATTATTATTATTATTATTATTATTATTATTATTATTATTATTATTATTATTATTATTATTATTATTATTATTATTATTAGTATTATAAAATTAGTTATTATAAATTTTTATTTATTTATAAATATTAAATTAAAAAATAAAATCAGTAAAAAGTTGAGTAGATTATTTTTATATTCAATAATAATTAATATATTATTATTTATTTATTATTATTACTATAATTTAATTTCCATTATTTATTAATATTTAAAAATTCATAAAAATCTTGTTTCCCAACATTTTTGAAGAGAATATTATTTTAATATATATTTTAAAAATAGATACTCATAAATTCTCCAAAAATATATTTCCTAATAATTATTATTATTATTTTTTCTTTTTGTACTAGAGGATTATTCTAATTTTTGTTTTCAAACCCCATTGATTTTTTGTTAGCATTTAGCCTTTACCATTTGATAAAGCGACCAACAGCAGCAGCTTAATTAACATTTTCAAATCTATAATTTTTTGCGCTAAAAATTTGATTCGGGTGGTTGTGGTGGAGAAGCAGCTGGTTTTTCGTTTTTTGTCACATACTCTAAAACTAGTTTGGGTTTTTTAAAGCATATAAGTATATATATATATATGTATATGTGAGTGTATGGGCATGTAAATATGTTATAAAACTAGGGAACTAAATAAAAATGAGAGATGTTGAACCCAAAAAGTGAAATAAAGTAGAGACAGACATAGGCAGACTAAGGCATATGAAGGCGGCGATATGTTTGGAAATCCCTCCGCTCCCCAAAGAAGAAGCGATGAGGAAACTTTCCCAAAAACAAAAGTGCAAAATAATGACAAATAATGGACATGCATTACAAAAAAAAAGAGGATTTTGAGAATTATATTTAGATGTATGGTATATATGGCTTATAATAATAGAGGTTTGTTTTTTAAAAAGCATCTACTAACCTTAATGCTATCATAGCAGGCGGTCACCTTGCCATTTTGCACTTCAACATTTGCAGGCGGATGGGCAAATTTACATTCGGTATCTTGGCGGGAACATTTATTCCTTTGAAATTCACGACATACTTCTAGCTGGAGCCAACGTGAATCTTTGCCATTCAATAGGCTGGTCATATTAACCATAGCGGCCATTTTTTTTTTTGAGAGGGGAGTTTGTGTGACTGCTTTGTATTCTTGGAGGGGGGATAGCTGGCTAGCTTAGATTTCCTTTTCTTGGTGTTGGGCTAGCTTTTTGTTGTTGTAAGTTTTTTTTTTTTTTGGTTTACTTTTGGGTTTAGCAATAAAACACCGCTGGACAGTCTATTTAGGTATGTTTCTTACATAAAGAAAAGCTGCCGTCTAGTTGCTGATGATGTATGGATGGATAGATGGAGGCGGATAATGGGTAATGGATACTGGCCAAAAATCACTGTCTGGGGTCCGGGCGGGGTATAGGATATTTTGATGAGACAGAGAGAGAGTGCGAAAAGAACGCACGCACACACAGAGAGAGATAGTTGAAGATTATAGGGATGACGAAAAACGTGGAGGGAGGACTAAATAGAGATTTGTTTCTTGATGTCGATGAGGGCAAGATTTCAGCTTCCAAGTCCTTTGTTGATGTTCTCCAGATTAATCCCGATTTTGGTAGTTCAACATTCTCTGTGAGTTTTCAATTGCTTTATTTCTTTGTTGTGAATGACTTTTTTTTTGGTCTTCTTGATTTTTCTTTTTCAATTTTTTCTTGCTGTCAAATTTTAGGGTTGCCAAGTTTTTTCAAATTTCTTTTGTAAGAGTTTTTTTTTTCTTTTTTGTAAATTTTTCTCTTTTTTTATTCTCTTGAAATATTAACACTCACAAATCTACATTTGAGTTGAGTTATTTATTCCGACGACTTTTTTCTTTAGAAAAAAAAAAAACAAAAAAATAAATTTTATTTTTTAATAATTAAAAAAACAATTATTTTTATTTATAGAAATGATGACTAGAGTAGTACGAGCGGTTTCAACCCAGCCGGTTTTCGGTTTTAATTTCAATTTTAATTAATACGATTTTTTTATATAACCGTACCGTTTGGTTTTTTATCTAAATTAGCTAGGCTTTTGGAGGTTATTTTATCCAGCAAAATCAAAAAAACCTTAACCAAAACCATAAGTGTCAAAAACTCAAAAACAATTGACAGCCCAAAAAAAGTTGAGGTCGAGGTGGTGTTGAAGGGTGGTGGTGAGGATGGTGTTGGTGGTTTTGGAACTCAATAAAAAAGGACCTTTCTTTGTAACGTTTATTTTATTTTGCTGGGTAGGATAGTAGGTTATATAGCATTTCAAGCGCAACAATCAAAATAACAGCAGCTTGTTCTGTTTTATTTTTTTTTTTTTTCTATTTAAGTTTCAGTTTACTGGCTTTCTAAGATAACATTATATAATGGCTATATATCTGGCCTTTTATTTTTAGAGAAAAGCTGCAGCAGCGTTTGGATTTTTTTATATATTTTTTATCCCAGATTTATTTTTTTGTTCTATATATCACGGGATTCAGGCTTATACAGAAGCTACAGGCATATGTATTTGGTATTTGGTAGTTGTGTACATTATCTGAAATTAGACAGAGAAAAGAACAAGAGAAAAATACAAAAACAAGTTAGCATTTATGGTTGTTACTTATGGTCTAAAAAAAAACAACACAAAATAAATATTTAAAATTACCTAAAAATAAATAATAATTATAATCTAAATGAAGTTTGTTTTTTGTTCGAAAATAGAAGAATAAGCATAGGTGTCTCTTAGAAGCTAATAGGGAAATGTGTTGTGTCCATTTAAAGATAAAAAAGCATTCATTACACAGATTGATATCCCAGCAAACATTTTTTTATGTAAATTTGTTTCACAAGCATGTCTTTTTTCCCCGAAAAATAACATAAATAAAGCAAATTTGTTTTCAATCTATCACTTAAAGCTATGGCAAGCACATTTATTTTATATCCTGAAGGATATCGGTTTTATGTTTACATATAAGTAAGCTGGCACAGTTTAAAAGCTAATTGGTTTGGTGATACTAAAATTCCATACGCACACATACAAGCAGTTCAGTTTGAGGCACCCAAAACAAAAGCTAAAATGAAATATCAAAAGTTTTGAATATCCTGGAAGGTTGGTTTTATCATCCGGCGAGAAAAATCAAATTCAAATCTTAAAATCCATTCTTTTTTAGATCAATTTGTGATTTTTTTAATACCTGTTTAAAAAAAAATAAAAAAAGAGTCAACAAGAATATTGTCATTCACGTTAAAGGAAAACGGGAATAAGACACTAAACATTTTTTGTATGATCCCATATATTTTTTAAATAAAAGGATATTTAAGAACAACATGTTCGTTCCCGTTCAAAATACACAAAAAAATACGTTTTTAGGAGACACATTTTTAAAATGACAATTTTAGTACAATCGTAAAAAATCTGGAGCAGAGGATCTGGAACAGTTACGGAACGTGTTCCCCACAGGATCGTGGTGGAAAATGTCAATAAGATTCTAATATTTCCCAAAAGTTTTTCCAATATTTTCATATATGTTAAAATAGGAGAATATCGAAAATGAATTTTATAGGAGTTTTAGGATGGGAGTTAAAAGGACTCAATAGTGGATTTTTTCACTAATCATTTATGGGGCTAAAAATTCTAATAAAAATGCACTTTTGGTCCTTCCTAAAAAAAAATCATATTCTTCATCAATCCTTCAAGTATTCCCATAAAATTGTAAGAAAGAGTAAATTAAGTCCTTTCAAATATGTAATCAAAACTTCCATTTTAGTCCTCGAAATATGGAATAACGAAAAAGAAACAATAAATTACTACAAGAATTTTTATCCATTGCGAATCGTAAATACCAAATTCAAAACACCGTGGAAAAATGCTACGTTAGGATCATCAAAATGATATGTTACAGGAGAAAACCCAAAACTAAACAAACTTTAAACACGATATTAAAAAAAAATCGTGAAGAAAAATCTGTTTAAAATGATCAAAATATAAAATATAGGGAGGTGCCGTTATATGGGCTCTATAGGAAAACGTTGACCTATAAATACTATGTTCCGCCACCGGAGCTAGAAACCATAACGAACTACAAATACAAGATTTTAGACAATTACCCTGGAAAATGTGGCTTCAATCATCAAATACTGAATATCGAAGGTATCGCAATACGCAATGCAAAACAGGGTGAGATAAAAAAAATGCAACAAAGTCAAATGCCATAATTCTTATATTTTTTTAAATTTTAGTGAATGAAAACAAAAATGTCGGAAATAGCATCAAGTTTTAGAATAAGTTTAGATTTGTTCGAATTGGTCACCTTTGGCACGAATTATGGCCTTCAAAGGGCCAATGAAACCGTCACACGTTGCTCTGCGGTATTTTGGCTCATTCCCGGACGAGCGCTTGCTTGAGGTGATCGACACTTTCGTATTTTTTAGTGCCAACCTTGCCAAGATACTCCAGACACAATAGTAAAAGAATTGGTATCCGTAGATTTTGGTGGCCATTGTGCGTTGAAATCTCCAAGGTCTGCGGCCAAGGCTTTAATACACCCTCCAGAATATTTTCGCGATAATATTCGGCATTTATGTTGATGCCATGGTCGATTAATAAGAGCGAAGAGCGATCATCGGCTGTTATGGCCGTCGCTTGAGTTATGGTGGCCAAACGAATGTGTACATTTTCAGCTGACCTCTTTGGCAAGTAAACAGGATTATTTTGTTTGTTTACAAACTGCTGGACAACGAATGTTTTCTCATCGGAGAAAACCAAATTCGGCAGATCACTACTTTCGGCCAAGCGAAGCAAGTCTTTAGCTCTTTTGAGTAAATTTTCTTTTTGTTGCGGTGTAAGTTCTTTCATTTTTTTGGAATTTCAATGGCTTTACCCCGCCCGAGCTCATTTTTCAATATTTGCCGAATGGAATATTGCGATATGTTCAGTTCACGAGCCATTTTTCGGCCATTGGAACGCGGGATTCGATCGAATCGCTTCTTTATTTTTCGAACCATTTCTGCTGATGTTGCTATTTCCTTCCGTCCACTTCCTTGACGTCGGGCTACGCTACCAGTATCGCGGTAACGAGCGATGGTACGAGACACAAAAGATTTATTCACATTTAAATGCTGGAGTGCTCTAACGATAGCCACTTGTGGGTTTCCAGCCAAATATAAGGAAATCACACTATCACGCTTAAATTCCATCACGAATGTTTTTTTTTTCTGGAAAATTCTCACCAAAATGCTTTTGTACGCTTGTAAAAAATATAATGAGCTGTCACTAGGAAATGACAGCAGTCTGAAGTTGGTTGCAGTTTTTTCATCTCACCCTAGGCTTTAGACATTTTTTGAAATAAAAAAAAATCTGATGTTCTTTCAAAATTCGCCTACCATTAAATGCAAATCAAAGATCCGAAATTAGCTATGAAGTCTACATTCGATTTCAGATGTCCTTCCAAAATATGGCTTTAGAGTCTACGCCTAAGAATTCTCGCAAAAAAATCTGATATTCTTTCAAAATTCTCCTAAAATAAAATGGCTGAAAATCCTTTAAAAATGTCTTTAAAGAATCAAAAATCCGAAATTAGCTATGAGGTTCACATTCCCATTCAGATGTCCCTTCAAAATGTGGCTTTAGAATCTACGCCTAAGAATTCTCGGGAAAAAACATTCAGATATTCTTTTACAATTCGCATAAAATTAACTTTCATTTTTCTTTAAAAAAGCGTATAAAATTTAAGCCTAAAAGTCTCTTGAAAATCAATTTCAATCCGTTTGGAACACTCATAACCTCTAAAGATGTTTTAATATCCTTTATTTATAAAGTCCAATCCTAAAAAATCCTCTGAAAATGCTTTATTCTCAGTGTAACCTGTTTTTTTAATTCATATTGAAAATTTACTAAAATAATGACACGGAAATATTTCAAAATAAAATCAAAATTGGAAAACTTCTAAAACCCACCCTCGCACAATTTCTTTGCGTAAAACGGTGATAAGTGTTTCACTTTTTTGTGTTGCTTGTTTCTCGTTGTTTTTTTTCTCCTGCCATAATTTCTACAACCCATTGATAATTGTTATTGATTTTATTATTTTCGTTGTTGTTGGCGTTGCTGTTGCCGCTTTTCAATTAACGACAATGGTATTTATTTTCACCTCCAGGTGTATTAAAAGCGTCTATTTTCTCAGTTCAATTCAATTCAGTTCAGTTGCTGTTGTTATTCTCCCGACCAATAGAGAGACCAATTGACTCACATTGCTCTAAATTTGTTATGTATTTCTCGATTTCATTTTGAACAACAACAAGAAAAAAAAAGAAACGAAGTAACAAATTATCTAATCGCTAAATATTGATAAAAAAAATTTGTTTGTTGTTGTTGTAAGTATTTCCACATATACCAAACTATTTCAAAATATCATCAGTCATTCATTGGAAATTTTGAAGAGAAACTAGAGGAGAAACAAAACAACAGAGAGGGAGAGGGTTTTAAGGAAGTTTGGTAATGTTGTATGTGGGGGAGGATAGCAAAGGCATGGGCGTAGATAAGAATTTTTTTGGGGATGGGGGAGGAAATAGGGGTTTGAAATTGGGTGGAAGGCGGTTAAGTGTAGTTAAATAAAATCAATTAGGGTTGTATCGGCTGTTATTATTACAGGAGTCTACTTCCGTATTTCGATGCGAAAGTGAATTCGAAAAAAACACAACTCCAAATTATTTTTTTTTAATTTTTATACCCTCCATAGAATGGTAGTTCCGTTTGTAACTCCTCGAAATATTCATAATAGACCCTACAATGTATCTATACTCTGGATCAGCGTAAAGTTCTAAGAGGATTTAGCGATGTCAGACTGTCTGTCCTTCTATTGTAAT